GAAGATAATCAAAAACAATTACCAACACTTAAATTCATGCTAACAACCGTTTCAAAGATTTTTTTTTTTTTTTTTTCTATTATAGTTCTTCCAACACCAAAACTTATGAAAGAGAATTCTTATGTAGAATACAAGAATGAAAATGTGACAAGAGCATCCCCGTAGACTAAAAAGTAATGCGTTGATGTAAAATTCTTCAGTGTTTTTCAACTTGAGATCATACATTAAACCATCATCCAAACACATGAAATTGATATTAGAATAATGAACCAACAACCTATCTGAACCTTAATCCAAACATAATATAACTGGAATATTATAAAGTGTTTGATCGCTTATTACCACCACTATATAGTGGATTAAAATCATTTGTCCAATCACATTCCATATCATCTCCGCACCAAACATACCCCGAATATTTCATATGAGATGGATAGCTCCAATGCAGGCACCTCTAACGATTTTAGGGTTATAATGCCAAGGCACAAATTTGTTTGGGGTATATTGTAGCAATTACTCAGCAAGAACAAGAAGAATAACACAAGGAAAGAGCAAAACAGTGGGCCAAAAATCTGTCACCAATTCAATCAAACCAACACCTCTATTGCATAAAAATTCAGTACAATATCAAGCAATTCAAAAAAAAAACTTATCTCAGAATTTCAGCAACACATTCACAAAATCAGCCCTTAAACCAACGGATGGAGCTGCGGCTCCTCACGCCAAGACTCTGTTTCTCTACTATATTTTTCCTACCGAAACTCTTCACTTCTCTCTCTGTTTTTTTCTACAGAAAAAACCCTCTTTTCTCTCTCTATTTTTCTGCCAGAACACAAAAATTTTCCCCCTTTCTCCAGCAGCTATCCAGCCATATTTTATACTTTATTTTCCAGCCCCTCCTAATGCCAGCAATTGCACAGCTTTTGTCTTGTCTTTTAGAGCCAACCGACTTCACTTGCGCAGCCCTTCACAGACCTAGGTGGCTGCCCCTTCAAGTTTTATTTAAGACACCTGCTGACTCTTTCAATCCAAAGGAAAAACCACTAACAACCTCAAATTACAACAAAAGACAAAAACATCATAAAAATTACTTAACAACCCTAAATTTAAAACGTCAAAACCACCCAAATAAAATTGGGTTTATAATCTAGCATCCATCCCATATATTAGAAGGAAGAGAATGAGGAAACACCTTTTTGGGGGCATTTATTTGTATGCACTTTGATTTAACATGTATTATTTACGGAGGCATAGGTGTTAATCCTAGCCTATATCAAGATATGAGAGGATTTGTTGAACGTGCTACGTGTATCTAATTCAAAACCAATTACCAACACTTAAATTCATGCTAACAACCTTGTCAAAGAACAAAAAATATTCTATGACAGTTCTTCCAACAATAAAAATAACGAAAAAGAGTTCTTGTGGAAAATACAAGAATGAAAATGTGACAACTAAAATAAGCGCTGTTTCAAGATCATGCCATGAAAGAAACTATATCCTAAAACATCTTGTTCATAATTAACATCACTAGGGGCGATGTAGTGATCTAAGATATGACAAAAGTATTGCTGAGGTTATAGATTTACTTAATTCAGCTTCATAATTGAAATTAAAGAATTGAAAATTTCAAAAATGTAATATTTCATATAAAATCATAATTTCAAATTTCTTTCATCTCAAACAAGCATATCCTTCCTTTTTTCATATCAGCTGGGTTAGCAAGGAGGGTTCATGCAAATATTGCAATACAGCTAGGATTCACTCAAATTTTGGGTCTGATTTCTAAGGATATGAGAAGGACAGGTGTTTATATTTGCAGCCAAGGTTGGAAGGTGAAACTTTCGTCTTGAAGCAGACTATTTGAAGAGTTGTCATGTTATGCTTTAGTATAAACCACAAAAAATCTAAAAAGATGATTTCCTCCAGTGTTAAAACCAAACATTTTTTATGTTCCTCCTTGTTAGGTAGTCTGTAGATACAATATTGGAGAGACAAAATCAATATATAATACCGTGCACTTTTCTGATAACACGTTAAATAATCCAACTCAAAACCAAACGGCAATGGATGGACAAGCCCACAACACACCCATATTAGCTTAGGGGGTGTTATATATCTATTGGGAGAATCTCTGTCAATTTTCATGAAAAAAAAAATCTTAAAAGGAAATTTCGACTTAGAACTTGGGAAGTACAATGTCTCAAAAGATTATCCTGATTGTTCACATGAAATCATCAGGATATGTATACTTAGTAACTGGTTACAGTTAATGTTGAAATATGCAGTGATGAAGTGCATACAATTTATAACATGCAATAATCAATGTGGCTGATGTCGAAATTTGACAATTTCAAATTTGGTTTTAACAAGCTGCGTATGATTGCACTCATGTCCTAGCTATGCAGGCCTTTGTAATGGTAGCAATCAGGGAGTGAAAAGAGAGGTACTACTTCACAACCTACCAAGATTAACATTAATGCCACAGAATATAACAGCCTGCATTGAGAGTTTATCAACACTCCTTTCTAATCACATGCATTTTAACATCAACATTTTCAAACATATACATTTCAAGGAAAAGAAATTTATCTAGCTCCCAGTGAATATAAGCTGTCGAAGTAGAGATGTGGCCAAAGGTGTACCCCCATATCAAAATCAATGCCAATATTTTTATTGATTAAGTTTCCCATATTTCTGATGCACCTTGTCTTAATGTTGTAGAAGAGAAGGCATCCTTTCTGTGACCAAATCAGCATTTCCTCATCACGACCATCCCCTGAAGGAATGTATTGCAAAATCCAAAGAGGTCTATTCGTGGCGAAGATATCAAAGCTGTACTCCTTGGTCCAAATTTGATTCTTTCGGTCTTTCATCATCCAAATATCAATGTGCGGTTCCCCTTGCTTTCCGTACACTAAACATAACGACCCTTCTATTGATAACAACTGATCTGTGTCATCGTAACGGCCTGAATAAGTTTTGGGACACAAAACCGTTTCATATTCTTCTGTAGCCAAATCGAAAGCAAGTATTTTCATGGAATTTCCACTATTTCTGAGCCCATTGACAAGCCAATAAAATGATCCATTCACGCAGATTGGGTGTCTACGAACACTGAGAAAATGAGGAGAATTTCCTACGACTCTCCAAGTACCATGAGAATTTGGTCCACCTTTTATAGTAAAAAGTTGGCACACCATCACCATGTCAAGATTTCTATCCCTTTCCAGAAACCAATGCGCGATCTTATATTCGTTGGTGGAAGGCAGAAACCCCAGAGCAAAATCATAAATGTCACAAAGCTTACTTGAATATGGAACTTGTAAAAGCTCTTGGGTGCTCGGATTGCAAACATAGACATGTTCAGAACAAAGTAAACACATTAAACCTTGACAAAACCTCCTTGACTGTACTGGACTTCCTATCTGCTTGGTGAACCAGTTCTGCAACTGTCCTTGTGTGTCTAAGGAAGAGAAGAAGATATAGTGGTATGAATTGTAGAAAAACAACAAAAGTGGGGTTGAATTGGAGCGATTGCGATGTAGATTTTGGAGAACAGGGTCGGGAGGAGAGAGAATGGCACGCCAGAGTTTGGAGACACACCTAAATTGGCAGATGAATTTCGCGGGGAGTCGAGAGAGTATGTCGATGATCAGATCGAGAGGAAGACCCGCGTCATTGGTGATTTCACTGTGTTGATGTTGATGAAGCTTAGGTTTTCTCTCCATTCGTTCCATGGTTGTTTGAAATAAGCAATAAGAAATATTTTTGTCCTCCAATCCATTATAATTAAGGGTTATACACGGACTCAGATATTGTGCCCTCAAATTTAGATTATTATACTTAATTTTGTTATTAATTTTAAACATAATATTTTAAATTTAAACGACCTAAATATTATATATTTAAAAATTTAAGGGATTTAAATATAATCCTCTAAAATCTTAATTTCATAACCTAGTTAATTTTGAATTTATTTTTCAAACTCAACTTCTTTTTGAAAATGTCATTTACAGTGACGTCTTACGTATGCAAAAACGTCATTTTAAATGACAATTTTAATTGAATATTATTTTTTAAAAACATTATTAAAAATGACGTTTTTAAAATCATTATTTTTAATTACGTTAAAATAACGACAAAATTTCTAAAAATATATAACTCGACAAAATATTTTCAACACCCATACACTATCGTGAATGGACAAAGTATTTTCAACACGTATACACTGTCGAGATGCATTTATCCGGCTATATGGTTTTGGTGGATTTTTGGTTCTTAAATGATATGACCACTGGATTTATTGGAAATTTTGTGTACTATTTGTGTAATTTCATGTTGATAATGTAGATGGGTTTGCTACGATTCGTTTCTTTTATGGGTTTGTTGGGTTTTGTCATCAAATGACTTTGGTTTTATGGTTACATAGATTTGTTTGGTTTTATGGCTGGGGTTACATAGATTCGTATGTTTTATGGTTTTGTTGCGTTTTGTCATCTAAGTCGGTGAAAAGAATTGGACAAAGTGATATGATATTTGCTTTTATGTGGTTTACAAATGCCTCTACTCATTTTGTTGGTCATTTGACATTATTAGTCACTTTTTAAGATATTGGGACATGGAACTTCATTCACCTGTAAACTATAGCGAAACAAGGCCATCAATGGAAATGAACATTGCAGCTGGTGTCACTACTTGAACTGTGTCCTTACCTCGAAATGGAAGTGTGATGGAACCTAGCACTTTGAATAGGCTGCTTGTACTCCCTCTATCTCATTAGGCTTCCCTCTGTTTGCATTTGTAAATACATAGTTTATCTGCCAGTGTTGTATCTTTGCCTACTCTGTTTGACTCCTCAATAACAGTTCAAAAGCTTGCAGACCACCATGACCATGATGTGCAGGTGGATGTTGAGCCAACTTTTTTTTTAGCAGACCATATTCTTCACTGAATCCTCTCCCATTTAGCTATGATTCTATGATATGATCTGTAGGTGGATGTTGAGCCAACTATTATATGATCTGAGCTATGATTCTTTTGGTTTGTTTTGGTGATTCTAATTGTGACAAAAGGGTTACTAGTTGTTTGGGCTTATTTTGTGAAAAATATTGTGTTTGTTTGAGTTGGTTTGTGTCTTTCCTAATCATAAATGACTCTCACTCTTATGTTGAGCTTTTCCCAAACCCAGTCTCCCCAATTTCATGTCTTGATTTCAGGTTTGTTGTGGTCGACCTCTCAGCAGGCCCTTGCACATATGGAAAGATTGAAACTGAAGAGGGAAGCATCAGTTCTAGAACGCTTCCCCGGTTACGGAATGTGATGTTTTCTAGAGGTATAGGTGCAGCTAGTGATCATTCTGCCCATAATATTTTTGTTGGACAGCTTGCTCCTCTGGTTGCAACCACAATTGAGCATGTTATAGCTCCAGATGTTAGGCAGTCTTGACAGGGATGTCCAATGGCGTACTGGGGTGGAGATTGTGAGCATAATTAATGTAAATGAAGATGCAAAAATACTAGAGAATTGGATCGTAAAATATGTATTTCGACTCAAATTTGGTTCCCAAAGTGTTGATATTGTTAATTTAGTTCTTGAAGTGTTTGATTTATACTTCCTGCAACTTGTTTCTTATTCAAATCAGGTAGGTTTTCTTCATGTGTTCAATCAAGCTCCATGAATTCATTGAATTAAAGCAGATTGATCGTTGAGGTGGTTACAGGGTGGGGGAAGCTCTCTGTACTGGACTAGGGGCATTAAACAAGCCACTTCTATTTCATTTTCAAAAATGGAATGAAGTATGAATTCTCAATAGTTCTTATCTATTTGCAAATAGGATACAAAAAATCAATGAACTTGTTGCAGAAATTACAAGGAACGATTGCCATTTGCTGATTTCCATCTCAATAGATGAGATCACACATCAAGGTGGTTCCAAGTGCATCACTTACTAATGCTAATTCGCATAACAAACAAGACCCAGGTCAGCAAAAAATTCATGCTGGATCAGAGCATTTGCCTTGCCAAAATTGTTAACCCGTGTCTTCACAGTTGTCAAAGGATCCAATGAATGCTGAGTGCCAATTGTGATGGCGTTCTTACTGGTTACAAAGTTATGGATCATCTCTGCTCCTACGGTAATGCCGGTTGCAGGGTTCACTATATGTTAGCAGGATGCATTCAGTGTTTCACCCTTTTCATTCCTGAATCATCAATACATCCATTGGTCAGACGACATTAGTATTCTAAACCACATAAAATAATCAAATCATTCGATGACAAAACCCAGCAAAACCATAAAATAAACAAATCATTTAGTCATACAAAGATTAATATGAAATTACAGAAAACTCATCTACATAATCGTAACAAACTCATCTACATAATCAACATGAAATTACAGAAATAGTACACAAAATTTCCAATAAATCCAGTGGTCATACAAGATTAATATTCTAAAAAAAAAAGAGAGACAAAAAATCAAATCATTTAAGAACAAAACCCAGCAAAACCATATAACCAACATTTCCTTAAATCAAAACACAAATCGTAGTTCTAACCTTTCTGAAGAAGAAAACGTAGCAGATAAAGAGAGAGACTTCTCTGAAACCCTAGCCGCAGCTAATAGAGCTGAACAAAACACAAAGTAAATGAATCGGTAAGAACTTGACAAGAGGGCAGAAGAATGTGGGGACAATGGCTGAATGGTCTGGTGTCGTCGGAGAAGACCATGGCTAAGTGGTTGCAAGCGGAGGAGGAGGAGAGATCGATCAATCTGAGACAGGGGAACACAGTGGCTGAGTGGTTGGAGGAGGAGGGGAGACCTTTGATAAGTGAGATCTTTGAACCTTCATCTTAGAATGCATTTTAAAACCCTATGGGCCAAACTGAAATATTATTCACTATCACTCAAGCAAGTTTATAACAAAACAAGTCAATAAGGATGGCTTGTCATTCAATGGTATATAAAAAAAAATATTGAACGTTAAACCTTTTCAAATTCCGTCATTGGACCACTCCAAAATATATTATAATATTACATAAATTCATATATAAATTCTATTTCTTCTTTGTCTTCTCCCTTCCATTCCTCAATAGGTTTTTCTTTCTTTTTGAAATTATTTTGGACCAATTTGCAGAACAGATAAAATGAGTGAGGCTGCTATTCTGGAAGTCGTAAGAAGGAATTTCAGTGATCATCTAATTCTTGGGGAATAGGGAGGACTTATTGGGGATTCATCTTCTGATTACCTTTGGTGCATAGATCCCTTAGATTTCACTGTGAACTACCTCCAAATAAGAAACTGATGATGTACAAATTAGTTTCGTGCAAGATCAACAGTCAAGAACGTATAAGGGAGTAATTAATATGCGGTTAACATGCAATCAATGGCAGTTATGGGTTAAAGCAAAAAATAAGATAGGCACAGAGATTTATAGTGATTCGGTCTGGGTGACTTACTCCACTCTCGGGAACGGCAACGGTGGCCTGGGGTGTTTTATTGATGAATAATGTAACCGGAATAGTAACTCCGGTGTATTACAGTGCTTTGAAGAGAGATAGCAGTGTGTGTGAGGAGATGAGTAGAGGCATTAGAAACCTTTCCTCAATGTTGAGAGGACGTACATTATATAACTAGAGTAAGGCGGTGACGTGATAAATGAGGTCTCTATCACTTTGGCAAGTTCCATTTTAGTAGGATTCAATCTTCATCTCGAGATTCTTTCCCTCGTGCTCCTATTCACTCGGAGAGGGATACTAGATTGATCTTGATCTTGGACTTGACCCTGAGCCTGGGCTTCGAGTTGGTGTGGCTGGAATTTTATTGGAGCACCGAAGCCAAGAGGAGCAAAGAGGAGGAAGCGCCCAAGGGGCCTGCCTAGGCAACGCCCAAGGAGCCGCCATGCCTTCCTGCTTTGGGCATTGGCCTTGGGTGTTGAACTCTTGATGCCTTCATTTCTAACGAGCTAACCCTGCTCTGTTTGGGCTTTCTCTTTTTATTTGAATTGGGCCTAGCCCAGTAAAATTCAGGCACATCATTTTCCCCCCATGCCCCGAGCCTATGACTTTTTTTCAAGAGACAGGGGTCGAGGGTATGTACTTCGTCTTTATTCAGGCAAGTCGGAATTTTCCTTACTCTTCACGGCATCCTTTCATCCTTGGTGACTCACTTTCAGGGACTCGCTGGACCTCCCGATATCGAATTTTTTTTTTCTTTGGCTTCTTCGTCTATGATCACTGTTCAGGCCTTCCCTATCATTTTCTCATTTTTGGAGGTTTAACTCAAAGGCTATCCTTCCAAGCTTCTCTGAGAAGCTACTTAGTCTAGCTTCTTCAAGAAGCCACTTCTTCTTCTATTTAAAGGGTCCTTCAATTCTTCACTGTTCATTTCCTTCTTTCATTCCCTATTTCTGCATCTCTTTTTCTTTCTCCTTTATTGTTCAAATCAAGACCATGGAGGCAAGGGGCCTGAATAGTCGTAGAGGAGAGGAGCCAAGAAGAGGCGGCGCCTAAGGGGCTACCGTCAGCGGCACCTAAGGAGCTGCCTTCTCCCAGTGGTGGTTTCAGCGCGGTCTCGACAGCTGGTGAAAGACCTTTTGGGACTGTTAGCGCCGAATTAGGTACAGGCGAGAAGGCTCCGGACAATCCTTTCCGTAAAGTGGGAGTGACCCAAGGTGTCGGAGGGCAGCAAAGAGGGTTATTAAGAGAGACAGACAGCACCTCAGGTACCTCAGGTGGCGTCCATGGTGCATTGGGCAGCGCCCCAGGCTCCCCAGTTGGCGACTCAGGCATGGTGCAGTCCACCCTTTGCGAGCATAGAAAGCGGTCGAACACCGATTTGGATGATATGAGCTCTCAAGGTATGTTTCCAGTATTCTTTTTACTATTCTATTCACACCGTTACTTTCTTTAGCAATGGGTTGAACCTGCTTTTTGTAGATATTCACTCGGGCGAGAGGTAGACTGCTGAGGATCCCGATGGAGGCCCGGTTATTGACAGGGGCGACTGTTCCAAGGTAGCCTCTATATTTAGCTCATTTCAAAATGATGAAGATATTACAGAGTTAGCTTCCTTGGACCGCATTCCACCTTCGGCACTGTGTCTTCATGCAGAGGCTGATGAGTCAGCTTGCGGCGATTCTCTGGATGAGATTGTTCTCTACGAGGGGATATTAGAGGCGGGCCAGAGATTCTCGATTCTCGGGCCCATATGTCGGGTCTTGGAACATTTGTCGTTAGTTCTTGGGAAACTAGCTCCGAATGGTTGGAGAGTATTATTGGCTTTCTTTGCACTGTGGCGGTTGACTCACGGGACTAGTGTTCCTCCACCGTTTGAGGAGTTCTTGGCCACTGACACACTTCTGGAGAACCCCACTCTCCACCAGGGGTGGTATCGGTTTTTCCCAAGGTCAGGGAAGTTTATCACCGGGCTTACCTCTAATCTTCACAAATGGAATTCTTTTTTGTCATAGGCGAGTGGGCTTTCGAGTCCGACCGTAGCCGAGTGCCCACCCGATGGAATACCGTCCCAAAGACCAAGAAGAGTAAGGTCTTTATCTTTTATCTTTTGCATTGACCGTCACATACTTATTCCTATGGTGCAACTGTCTTCTTGTAGCCCCGCCGTCCCTCACCGTTGAACAGGAGAGGTTACTCGAGATGGTCCGTAATAATCTAGCTAGAGAGCACTCTGATATTATGTCATCAGTTGGTTATTCCATGGCTCCTTCGAGGTCGAAGAAGAAAGGTACTTGACTTCTTTCATAGTACTTTTGGAAAAACTGTGTTGTAAGATTCATGGCTTACACTGGTTTTTCAGGTCCTCCACTTGACAGGTCCATAGTGGAAGAGATATGTGCCTCTAGGACAGTTCCTTCTTCTCCTCCCCCCAATAGGGTGAGGACTGATGCCCCTAGTTTAGCTGGTCCTGCGAGACAGAGCTCGAAAGTGCTCCTCCTCCCTCTTTGACTGATATTCCCTCACCCCCCAGAGGTGGTTCTAGTGCTGCGGAGGCCGAGGTTACGGCGTTACGTTCCACTGGGATGGAGGGTCCGTCTAGGTGTCCTTCTCAGGGTGACGCCCGAGCATCCATGCTACACGATGTGGAGTTGGCAAGGGAGAGATTATGTGTCTTTGTGACCGGCGTTGAAGTCCAAGAGATTACTTCTCGAGGTCCAGAGGGCGCGATTAACGCCACTATAGAGGGCTTTGCCTTGGTACGTCTTACACTCCTGCTTTGTATGTGACTTTCTTTGTCATTCTTTGGCTTAGTTCTTCACCTCCTTTTCATCTTTGAATGTCAATAGGTGGTTGCTTCCCTGCCCTATTTGTTTAACAATACCTTGAAGATTGAGGATGCAGTCCATGGTCAAGCGATGAAGAGGCAGGCAGGTTCGACTGCGGAAGAGCAACTTTGGCTTGAGCGACAGGCGCGAGAGGAAACCGCAAAGCTAGCTCGATAGGCGCAAGAGGATGTCGAGAAGTAGTTAGAGCTCGAGCGTCGGACGCGGGAGAGTGCTGCTTAGCAGTTGAGGATATCACAGGAGAAGACAGCCTAACTTGAGGCTGACCTTTGGGTAGTAGTTGAAAGAGCTACCAAGGCAGAGGCTCAGAG